CCACCTCCACCACCGCCACCACCACCACCACCTCCCCCTCCTTTATTTCTCTTCTTGTTATCGAGGACAAATTCGGAGTAATTCGAAGTTTTGTTTACATTGCCTTGATCAGCAAGCTCAGCAACGGTTAAAGAACTAACGTTGCTTTGAATGCGAGGACTAACGATATCGTTTAGCTCATCACACCTAAGCTCAACAACAGCCATTGCCATAAACAAAAGCACCAGTAAACTTTTTCCTACTGCCTCCATCTTTTCATACATACAATCGACGCCGATGCCATACTTTCCCTATATATATGCTTGAACCATATTTCTGTCTCCGGGCTGAAGTGGAGCACCACTTGATCCACATCTTTAAGGAAACCCGAACCAAACACTCTAATTGGTCAGTTCGTTGTTTGTTCTGCATTTTTATTTTTTCTTTTTTATATATATATATATTAATGTTCCAATATGTTGTAATCACGTTATTTTGAATTAATTTAGAATCGAATCATGTCATATCTTATATTTTATAAAGAAATTTTTTAACACCTATTTTTTTATTTACAAAAGTTAAACTGAACTTGAAATCCTGTTTAACAAAAAATCAGACTACTCCTACTTAAATCAAAGTTCGTTGGTAGTTGTTCGTTTTGTTCCAAGATATCATATGGGATGGCTTGGGACGCACTTTGTCCCCACCAGGGACCCACTTTGTCCCCACCAGGGACCCACAATGGAGGCCTCAAATTACACCTTGCCCCATTTCATGTCACGCGCGATTCACCCATTGGAGTATTGGGCATAATGGTGCTGGGAAATCAATGGGGACTTTCTTGTTTTGGGGTTCTGAAATTCGATATATTCAAAGAAGATAAAAAGTGCATAGATTCGTTCTAATTTGGCCTTTTTAAAACTTTGTATCATTGTTGTTGCTCAGTTTTCTGGATAAAGTGCAAAGCATAAAAAGGGTGTAGAATTATATGATTGACAAAAAAATGGATTCCAGTCCTTGTAAACAGAGAAATTTTGCTAACACCTCAATAATAGATCCATTTCCCTCGTGTGGATTTTCAAAACAAAAAACAATTATCCATTTCATAATCCAAAGTTCAAAGTAAACGAGTGTTTCACCAAATTTTTGGTATGAGCCTTCTGTACTTGCTTCAACTTGACGATAGATGTTAAGGAGAATATACCATATAGCAAAAAACAGAGAGACTATATTGGTGCGTGCATTATGTTTATAAATTAGATAATTTGGTTATAGATGCAAGCATTGCAAGTATAGATTAATTTTAGAATGTTAGTGCGTGCCATCATGTTTCCAACAATAGTTGAAAGAGAAATGAATTTATAAATCTGTCTGAATGTTCAGATTCAAGCTCAAGTTTTCTACAATCCCTGTAAACAACCATCACAACCTATCCTAACTTCTAACTGGGGATTGCTTCATCTACAGGCAATTGAGAAGTTGAAAACCAACTCTACCTGGCAACATCATTGGAGCATATGAGCAACTTGGGAGTGGCATGCACTCAAGTGTCAGGGAATCTCTGATAATATTGCAAAT